CTCCTCATCTCTGACTTTACAATCATTTCACTCATGCATAGCTTTGTAGCTGCAGATACTTTGAAATACTGCATTTAATACTTCTTTGGCTGTATGTGTCTCAGAATTACTAATTCTAATGATACTTCCAAACTCTCGAATATAATGATCCAATTCCACGTCTTTTAATAGACTACTTGTTGCCATATATTTATTTGTCAATTGGGATAACTTCAATAAATCAGAACTGAACGCCTCGTCCAGATCGAATAGTTCCAATGCCGGCGGTGGTAATTCTTGGAAACTCGGTGGAAACACCTTCAACATTTTTGTATTGTAACTCTAATTCTAAACATTTGATTAATATACGCGAAGACAGCTAAATGGTACATCAAAATATTTGGCTTAAAACTGTTTCCAGTATTATACGTATTTCCTGAAATAGACAAAATTTTCAACTGAAAAGCTTTTTTATACAGTAAATAAACCTGATATTTAGATGATATCGTTTAGCTGGTTCACTCTGTATAAAAACATATTTTACCGAAGCTTGAGTAGCCGGTAATGGAGCTTCGAAGTGTGGTGGAATTAGAGTAAGTGGTTCATGCTTTATATCTAAAACTTCAAAGGCTTTTATACAGGCTGGTACCATATCCAAGTTTACTGAATAAAATTGATGTTTAAACAATTTGCTGTACTCATGAGGATTGTCCATTATATCCATATCTTGAGTACACACTTTTGGATTGTCTGCTTGCTGTGTTATATCTGGGATAAAATTGTACTCCCAAAACTATATAAATGATATTATTAGTAATAATAAATTAAATGTAAACAGTTAATATGACTCGGAAACTTACATCAACATCGTCGAAGTGAGATTCTTTGATCACAAGATCTTTGGATTCGAAAAAGTCAAAAATCATTTCCCTTAAAGAATCATTCTTTTCTTTCTCAATATACATGTCTGTTAACATTCTCGATGAACCTAAGACAAGCAATTTTCCGCTATTGTCTTGATTGCAATGGTAAGCACAAATTGGTCTGTTTATTGGAATGGCAATCGAGCCAGTGGATAATGCAACTATCGATGGTTGTGCCACATTTAAAGTTGCACCATACGGATATAAAAAATTAATCTCTCTGAAACAAATTAAAAATCGCAATGCTACTTTCATCCAACAATTAATTCAATTTCATAGTTAAGCTGTTTACGTGTATTCATCGCGATTTCTCGAGAAGATTGATTTATTTGACATCCCTTGAGAAATTAAACACTCCTTTGGATGCATTGTCTGACTATAACTCATGCGTATTACACTATCTAAAAATGAAATAAGTAATCGAAGTATAATATTTCATGTCATTTCCGTTTAAAAAATTGTACAATATAGATATACCATTGTTGACCATTATACCAAACTCTTCTAATAAAAAGTTGACGTTAGTATTTGATTTTTTCTCGCCACCTTCACCAAGCATAACTAAAACGTGTCCACCAGAATTTAAGAACGTTCTAATAGCGTTCATTTCTAATTCTGTGAATCTATTTTGTGGACCAGGCAATACCAATACTTTCCCCGTTGATAACGATTTCTCCGTCAATACATCGTTATTTCTAAAGTATAATCATTGCATTATGGACCAAATTACATTACAAGAATTTTTTATTGAATTAATACGGCATTACTCGACGAATTTCCATTTCGACTTTAATTTTCGTTGCAAAACTTTGAACTCCTCATTCAGTTTCCTTTCATTTTTGGATGCGTCGAAAATTATCACGTTCAAGCTATCGTTATTATCGCCGCCACCAAAGATCGAGCTCATAATGATCGTCACTTTGTCAATGGATATTAAATAAGTATTTTTGCTTCGATTAAATAACAACCTGATTCTTGGGAACAGGCTTCTAATACTTTGTAATCATCAAAACATGCTTCCAAATGCATACTAAGGTATAATTCATCGTTGCTATTAGCAACTACGAACATATCAAACTTTGAAATACAATTGGTTGCTTGCATAGAGGGTGTGTTTACCTACAGGTGAGCACAAATGAAAGGGATGATTATTATTTTCTTACTTTTCAGTCCAGCTTATTCAAGAGGACGTAAAAAGTTGTCATGGACCGCGAGGTCCCATCAGGCTGCTACTCTTTAGTAATCTCTCCTCGGTGTTATTATCTTAAGAATAAAGTGATCATATGATCATTCAATTATTTGTCTATTATTTAAATTACAATTATATCGATAAATGTGAGTAACGGTTGCCTTTTTAAAAATTGATTATCAGCTTTTTGAACTGGATGTTTCAAAATGATCAGCTGATCGCGCGTAGAGGGCGTTTAAAGTATCAGTGGAATCCATGAATGGCACCAAGCAGCGTTCGTATAATTTGTCCCTCGGCCGGAAAGTGGGGACGACGCGACCATGATGGAGACTGGTACTTGATGGGGGTATGCTAGGCATGGTCAGCGAAGGCGCATGAGGAGAATAGTAGTGGAAATCGAAATACGGGCGAAAAAGAGGGGAAGCGAGCCGTGCGGGACAAATTATACGAACGCTGGGCACTGGGCACCAAGTGGCACCATGGAACAACTCATGGAAGTGACATAGCTCACTGGATTTGTTACATTTGTTGGTAGTGTTCAAAATGGTTCTTGGTTGGTGGGGTATCTGACAGAAAGGATTTTGTGATTACTTGTAGGACAGGATATATTAAAATGACTGCGTTAGTACAAGAAGATAACGAATTGAAGAGGTTACTGGGTAATCCGGCGAAAAATGCTGGTGAGATTGGCTCCATGGGTCCGCCACAGACGGTAAACCGAAGAATATGTTCTCTCGCAGTACAGGCTTCTGCATTCTTCGTTTTCTCTTTATTTTTGTATTACAGACAAACATCCCGCGACCGAGTATATCGCAAAATGTTAATCCACAGTCAATGCTAGCACCGATGACCCCGGTTAACAGTACAAAAGAAGTTATAGAACCATGTTTACAGTGAGTGAGACTAATAATTATTTCTTGTTTTCATAATAATAACTATTTTTAAATGAAATTGTACAAGGAGGAGATAAAATTATTGCTTTTACAAATTTACGATGATTTAAATTTAAAGGCAATTTTGATGTAATAGGGTACATTTCTTTCTGTTTCAGGAATGTTGTTTCAACTGTTAATTTAGGTGTAGAATTACCTTTGATGCAGATTAATACAAAAACAAGAAATTCTGAATATAATCCTGCAAGATTTACTGGTCTGATTATGAGAATCAGAAATCCTAGAGCCACTGCATTGATTTTCCGCTCAGGGAAGGTGGTTTGTACTGGTGCAAGGTGCGAGGAAGATTCATATTTAGCAACGAGAAAGTTTGCACGAATAATTCAGAAACTCGGATTTCCAGTACGTTTTATTATTCCATATGTGATAATTTGATATAAGTATGTGTGCATTTCTTTTGCCTGTTGTATTATAGGCTAGATTTTATAATTTTAAAGTACAAAACATAGTTGCCACGTGTGACCTGAAGTTTCCAATTAAATTGGAAAACTTGAATCATATTCATGGGCAATTCTCTAGTTATGAACCTGAACTCTACCCAGGTCTTATATACAGAATGGTGTCACCAAGAGTAGTATTACTCATATTCGTAAATGGAAAGATCGTGTTAACAGGTGGGAATCACTTGACAAATTGTTGATTATTTAATTACTTTCGTAAACGATCATAATGATATTTTAGGAGCAAAAAATCGAACTGAACTTCAAGATGCATTGAACAATATATATCCAATCCTGAAAAGTTTTAAAAAACAATGAAAGTACTTTTTTTACTATAACGTACGATTTATACAAAAGCAGATGAAGTCATCAACGATTGCCTTGGTATAATTTATCAAGTAGTTAGCGAATATTATTTATTAATAAAAATGAATTTTGTATAATAATTCATCTTATGTCTGACGATTACAATAAGATTTGTACACAAATAATCCATTATATTAAGGGGAAGAGGAACTTGAATTAGAATTTCATGTTTCATCACACCTTTAGAGGAAAGTCTTACATTCTGGCACACCCTGTAGTATTTCAGACTCAAACTTGCCTTCGGGATGCCCTGGCGTCCTTCGACAAACAGATTTTATACCTAACGAAATAAATACGATGTATCGTTTTAAAACATGTATATATATATTTCTGCACAATAAAATACTGATGTCTACATAACAAAAATAGTGATGGTTATTACATTGATCACAATATATCCATTTTTTGTATGCGAGTAATAAATACAGTATATCAGTTGACAACATTCTTGGTCAAGAAAATACTGGTTCGTACATAATAAAAATTAAGGTTGATACTCTATCGCTATAAAAACAAAATGTGTATAATCGATAAACGCAACAGATCTATAAAAATCTTATCATTCCACATGTAATTCATACCTACGTTATCAGGGGAAAATAAGTTCTATGTATACATAAAAGTTCGATAAACCATTCCCTGTTAATATGCATGTACTTAGCATTTTACGACGCACCAATAACGTATTAAACAATAAAATATTTTAGTGCAATAATTAATAC